TATACATTTCTGTTTATTCGGCGATTACTTTGTAATTACTTAAGATGACACACCGTTTATATATATATATATACATTTTTTTTTAAAGAACAAAGAAGGCTTTCTTTTCGTGAATATTGTCTTCCAACAATTATAATTTTTTCACAATTCTTAGACAATTAAATGTAACAAAACTAAAAAAAATGCACATTTTTTTGAGCAGTGCTAGATTAAAAATAGTATTACTGCATATAGAAAGTGTGCATTTTATTCTTTAATTTGTCCTGTTTAAAATTACACTAAAATTATGATTTTGGTACAAAACATTGAAAAGCAATTTACTAATGCAATACATTTTTTCAAATTTGTGCTTTTTTCAATGTGAAACATGTAAATATATGTTAAAGGGTTAAAATATTAACGTACAAAGCACAAACAATTACAAAGAAAACATTTTAACTATTAATAGTTTATAAAAATAGAAAATGAACAAAAAAAAAAAAATTGAAGGAAAATAATTAATTGGAGAAGAAGAGTAAGGAGTTAATTAGCGTAAATTAAGGGTTAAAAAGGGTTAACCAGAATAATAATTTTTTTTTTAATAACTAAAACCCCAAAAAACTTTTTTTTTTACTTGACAGTTGCCTTTGTATATATATATAATATATATAGATATATATATATATATATATATATATATATATATATATATATCTCTTTTTTTTTTTTCTTTTTTTCTGCTGAACAATGTTGTTGATAAACATTGTCTGGCTTCTTACTTTTTTTTTGACAGCTCCAGACACCAGGACTTTTTTTACACTTCAGTTGTGAGCAGAGGAACCCACTGACAGCTTAATGAGTCATCAGTCCCTTAATAAACAGTGATTGCTTCACTTTTTAACATTTGCATTTCATCTATCAGTGGAGGAATCCCACTGACAAGTCCTGCTGACAGTTGAAAGAACCTAGTCTGAAGGCATTGGTTTCAGGTATCGGAGCATTTGCACAAGTATTTGATACTTATGCAAATGCTTAGTATCGATACCCATACTAGTATGGGTGCAGCCCTAATGTGAACAATATCTTAAAGCCCAACTCCAGGAAGAAATGAAATGTAAATACTAAATTCTGCATTAATTATTCTAAACCTCTTCTTAAAACAGTGGTCTCCAAACTGTGGCCCGGGGGCCAGATGCGGCCCCTTGCTTGCTTTTATCTGGCCCTTGGGGCACTATTTTCATCCACTGATACCAACAATGGGGCATAATTCCACACACCAACACTGACACCAATGAAGGGGCAGAGATAATCCCAATGACACCAAAGATGGAGTACAATTCCTCCCAATTACACCAACAATGGGGACCAATGATAACAACAATGAGGCGCTATTCCTTCCAATGACACCAACAATGAAGCCCAATCACACCAACAATGGTGCGCTTTTTCTCCCTCTGACACCAAAGATGCAGCATTATTTATTCATAAGGACCTTTTTGGGACCTTTTCTACTCCCAATGCCCACAGTCTGCCCCCCCCTTAAGTCAGAAGGACAGTAAACTAGCCCTTTGTTTATAAAGTTTGGAGACCCCTTTCTTGAAGGATAAGTTCACCTTTGGGAATATGTAACATGTTCCACTCGTTTTTAGGGTGGAACATGTAACATGTTCCCAATGCTGCAGCCGCTGCCCGAACCCAGTGCCCCACAGACATGAACCAACATCCCCCCTTTCCCCCTCCCGGGGGAGAGAGCCTGACATTGCCCATGCAACACCCCTGCCCCCCACCTGTGAAGAGCCTTCAAGCACTAAGCCCCCCAGCGATAGAGAGAAAGATCTCACTCATCTTCACAGCTCTGGACATCCATCAAGCAGCCCACAGCCTCTCTCGGATCCCACCTGGTTCCCATGGCGCCCGTACGTGTCTCTTCTCCCATCCCTTCTTCTGGGGGGAGGTGCTTCCACCCCTGAAAAATGCCACCCTAGGCAAGTGCCTTGATTGCTTGTGGTAAATACGCCCCAAAAAAATAAAAAAAATAACATTAAATGCACATTTTTCTACCTGAAAAAAAACATGCGACTCTTTTCCCTGCTTGTTATTTTTTTTTGGGCACTGGTAAACTGTCCCTGTGAGCTCTCCAGCCTCTGGAACCCATGAGACAGCACTCAGGCACTGGGAGTGTTACCTTCACCTATAAGAGATGTCCACATAAAGCAGGCAGTGAACACCGAAACAGGGGTGGACTGACAACAACTCATGGGGCCCCCCCAGGCAATAGGGGATCATGGGGCCCCTGTGTCCCTTGCCCAAACTCAAAAAAAGCCTATGAAAAAGGTACCAGGGGCATCTCATGGGGCCCCCTACTGACCCTGGGCCTTCAGGCAGTGCCCGAGTTTCCAAATGGTCAGTCCGCCCCTGCACCGAAACAAGGATCCCAGGGAGTAAGCAGAAGAAAAAGAGGACTATCATAGTATTGTAGCTTCAGGTACTTTTAATGGGCATTTGGATAGTTTTTTTTTTTTTTTGCTACCAGCATTTAGTTTGAGGAGGTTTGCTAATATCGTGGATTAAAAAACAAAAACAAAATTAAAATGCCAATAGTCTCTATGCAAATAAGAGCGCAATGCAAGTTTCTGGTTTAAAGCAAATTTGTTTCAAAATCAACAACATCACAATGCACCTCCTCTCTGAACACCGTGATTCTGGTACAAGTTAAAAAAAAAATCAAAAGCAGAAACAAATCATTTGCTATAGTACAACAGAGAGTTCTAATGACAACAGGTAACAGATGTAACTCAACTTACATGGTTCGAAACAAACATCAGGCTCCATCTCTCTATGAAGTAACCTGTCAACAAAGATCCAGAATGAAATTAGTTTATTTAGAACACTAAGGGGGGTTATATACTAAAACTGTGTGGTGCAAAATCTACTCTGCATAGAAACCAATAGAGATGGGCTGAAACACACCCCTGTTTGATTTGCGGTCAAACATTTGAACCTACTATGTAACTATGTAAAAGTTGGGCTGAGGACTTTGAACAGAAACAATGTACTGATCGGTAGCTTACGGCATCTGAGTACGTGGTAGGATATCGCTCAGTTACTAAAATGTGGCATGAGTTATATTATATAAGTCATGGGGTATTTTAGTAGTGACACATCCATTCATGTTTTGACATTCAGCTGTCCCCACTGACAGCTGAATGTCAAAAGAATTGTCGGCATTGCCTGACAATTAAAACAGACCCCTTCGGGTCTGGTATGGATTTTGAGGGGAACCCCCCATGCCAAAATCGTTTTTAAAAAAATGGCGTGGGATCCACCCAAAATCCATACCAGACCCTTATCCGATCATGCAGTCTAGCAGGTCAGGAAAGGGGGGGGGGGGGGGGTGGAGTGAGCAGCCCCCCACCCTCCTGCTGAACCATACCAGGCCACATGCCCTCAACATGGGGGGGGGGATGCTCTAGGGCAGGGGGGCTCCCCCCCAAAGCACCTTGCCCCCATGTTGTTTGGGGACAAGGGCCTCTTCCCCACAACCCTGGCTGGTGGTTGTGGGGGTCTGTTGGTGGGGATCTTATCAGTATCTGGAAGCCCTCTTTAACAAGGGGCCCCCCAGATCCCGGCTCCCCTAAGCAGCACAAGTCCCAGAATCCCTGTAGAACAATCTGTACTCAAAATGTTAATTAATGAGTATGGGGTACATGGTACCGCTACTCATTCACAAAAAAAAAGTGTAGTGCAAAAAAAAATGACAGGAGACAGTCTTTGTCAAGTCCTTTATTAAAAATAAGAAAAATGTCCCCCAAAGTAGATCCAAAATCAATCACAATGCCTGCCACCACCACCAACCTGAAAAAAAAGAAAAAAAAAATCCACTCCGCCCTCGGCTCTGGCTCCCGACGCCTGACAGCTGCGCCACAATGACAGTTCTTAAACAGGGTGATGATGTCACAAGGGGGCAGGATCACCCTGCCTCCTTGTGATGTCATTATGACCTGTGATTGGCCAAAGCATTGCACCTGACCTGTGGTGGGGCACATTGTGGGGGGCGGGCGAACAGCTTACGTTCGACTCGAACATGCAGCCCATCATTAGAAACCAATCAACTTCCAGGTTTTAGCCCTGGTCCACACTAACTACGAATTTGAAATCGTTCGACTTCACTTGAAGTTGCACAATTTCAAAGTCGCATGTCCCGTGTGACTTCAGTTGTAAGACATCTGTGCAACTTCATGCCAGATGTCAATGCAAACTGCACCAATAATCAGCAAAAATAATGCAGAAACTGCTTTTCAAATATGTGTGACTCCGACGTAGTTGGAGTTGCACTGATTAGAACAATTCTATTGCTGATCATAGGATTTTATTTGAACTGTCAAATTGTGTGTGAATGGAGGCTTGTTGTCAAAGCTTAATTGAACAAACTGAAGTTAGAAGCTGATTGGCTCCCATGCACAGCTAAACCAGTGAGTAAGGCTGGCCATACACTATACAATTTTCTGTTCAATTTCTGCCCAATTTCCTTTAGATTTACCTTCAGCTCTGTAGTGCAAGGGCCTGCCTAATTGGATACAATTGAAAGTGTTGTTTAGGTTTGACCTCCTTTTATATGGTTTTTGGTAAATTTAAAGTAAAATTCTCAAGAAAATTGTATAATGTATGGCCAGCCTAAATCTCCCTCTAAACAGCCAGTCCTCAGGGACAATGCATAGTGCTTTTCTTTACATTTTCTATATATCCACTTGACCTCTGGAAGGTTTTGCACCCTTCATGACCAGGCCATTTTTTGATATATTTCGGCACTGCGCTACTTTAACTAGCAACTGTGTGGTCATGCAACGCTGTACCCGAATTACTTTTTTATTTTTTTTCACACAAATAGAGCTTTCTTCTGGTGTATTTGTTCACCACTGGGTTTTTAATTTTTTGCGATGTAAATGAAAGAAGAGAACATTTTGAAAAAAAAAAAACATATTGTTTACTTTCTGTTATGTGTTCTGCTACATGCTACAAGCATGCTGGGTACTAGACAGGGGTGAACTGACAACTCATGGGGCCCCCGGGCAATAGGGGATCATGGGGCCCTGTGTCCTTGCCCAAACTCAAAAAAGCCTATGAAAAAGGTACCAGGGGAATCTCATGGGGCCCCTTACTGACCCCCGGGCCCTCCGGCAGCGCCCGAGTTTCCAAATGGTCAGTCCGCCCCTGGTACTAGAACTTATATTCAGTGAGCTCATGTGATCTGGGTTCTTCTTCCTCTGAGAAGGGAGTTCCAGCCAGGGAGGCAGCTGCCCTCCCTGGCTCACGCTGCCAGGAGGGCTCGGGTGGGCGACCTGAGGGCCATAATGCTTGGACCCAGGGTGCTTCTGAAAGCTGACTGAGGGGGATGTCTACAGATCCTGTCTGGTATTACGGAGGAAGGTGACCTGCAGCAAGGACCTTGTGAGTACAGACTGTTCTACAGGGATTCTGGGACTTGTTTAGCCCCCTTGGGATCCATATAGTCAGCTGCTGGGTGTAAGCTAGAGGCTGGTGTCCAGAAGAGCAATTGTCCACCAAGTCTGCATATCTGTAGAGGAACTTTTCTCCATTTTTTGTAGTCTGCTACACAGATCTACTTAGAGAAAGCTGTCCTCAAGTGTTCATAGTTTAATTTGGAGTATCCCACTATATCCCTTCCCTATCCCAGTTATAAAATAATATAAAAAAAAACAACAAAAACTACAACCTGTGGACTGATCACTGTAGTAACAAGCAGATGTTGTGTGCACCTGGCTATAGGAAATACTGTGTGTGAAGATCTAGGGGAAAGCTCAGGCAAGATACAAGAAGCTCCTATGGGGGTAGGGCTACATGTGATTAGAGAGAAGTAAACCACCCCTTCCTCCATACAGCACTGTCTGACGTTTCATCCAGGGAATGAGTGTTTGGAAGCAGATCAGTTTTGCTGTGTGTGGGGCCCTTTTAGAAATAGGAGTCTCCTCACTCAGGATTGGCTGCAAAGTTCTTGGAACAGAGATCCCCACAGATAAAAGCCGCATAAAAAAAGAAATGTATCAGGAGAGACCTGCATAATTGGGAACTACCCCAGCCCAAAAAGACCCACAGAAGGGGCTCCTAGCCTTGTTTTTATATTCATCAGGATAAGGATGGGGGACTGCACTGAACTCAGAAAGACAAGGAATTGAGGCTACGTTCACATATATACGGTGCGGTACAGCGTATGTGATTTCCCACAGGAACCACACTGCATTCCTGCGCAAATCACATGCGAATTCTGTGCATGTTCAGTTCCGTCAAGTATGGCTCAAATCGCACTGCATCCACACCAAAGAGGTGCAGGAGCCATTCTTGGGTCTACACTAGAATCGGATCGCATGGGTATTCACACCTATGTGATCCGATTCTGCACATCGCACCACGTTTTGCAGACTGATTTCGGGGTGTTGTTAACATACACACCCGCAGCGGTGTGCATGAATGGGGTGCCATTCTGATGCGGTGTGGAATTCGCACAAAAAAATGCTGCAAATTCAGCACAGCATCAGTGTGAACCCGGGCTGAATCATATTGTAAGGGACTGTCCTCTGGAAATATAGGTCTATATATGGTTTAGGTTTTTAACTACTTGCCAACTGCCCTGTAGCGGGTGTGCACATGCCGCAGCAGGAATAAAACCCCGTTGCTTTTGGTGAGTGCTAATGTTTGGCCAGCCATGAAACCACTCAAGTAAATGGGGAAACTCTGCAAGTGCCCTGCAACTGCATGCTTCTATGGGGTCCAAGGGGTTAAATCAGGTGGTGAGAAAGCAACACAACACTGATTGCTTTAACCCTTTTTTGCTGTAGTGCACATGGTTGCAGGGCACTTGCAGAGCGGACTCATTTATTTTATTTATTTCAGGTACTTATATAACGCCGTCGCTTTACACATACAGTATATATTGTACATTCATATCAGTCCCTAACCCTCAAGGGGTGTACAATCTAAGGTCCCTAACTTACATTCTTACATACTAGGGACAATTTAGACAGGATCCAATTAACCTACCAGCATGTCTTTGGAGTGTGGGAGGAAACCGGAGTACCCGGAGGAAACCCACGCAGGCACAGGGAGAACATGCAAACTCCAGGCAGGTGGTGCCGTGGCTGGGATTCAAACCAACGACCCTAGTACTGCCAGTCACTCGAATGGCTCATGCTTGGTAGGTGGTACACCCACCAACCATGACAGGGTGTATAATGCTTTCCGCAGCTGTGACATGTCTACACCCCTGGCCACTGCAGCTAAAGGGGGTGCGGTTGCGGCGGTAAAAATACGTCTTAACTATGGGGTGATACCCCCCAAACTGCAAATGTAAATGAACCCTTACTGTTCTGATCTCCCTAGAAGGTTGCTTTCACACTGACGTGGTGCAGTTTACCTGCACCATGGGTTCAGTGCAGTGTATCTGCGACTTTTATGGGTTGGCTGTGCTTTGCCTTAGACTCCTATTATATTCTGCAGGTGTGGTGCACTTTCTGAAAGTGCACCAAAACTCCTGCATTCAGGAACCTAGGTTTTGATCCACCAGTCACCTGGCTGCAATCTGCAGGTAGATTGCGGTCTGTGGGTTGCTGGCCCCCGCTTTTAGGCTAGGTTCACACCTATGCAGGTTGCGTTATAGCCGTTTCTGTCATGTGCTTTGCGTTTTTTGACGCGTTGTGTTTTTTTTTTTTTCATTTTTTAAAATTTTTCTTGTTGCTAGGCAGATTTAAAATGCAAAAAACGTGTGGCAAAAATGCATCAAAATTGCAGCAAAAACACACTACATCCTTTTCTGCAGCATTTCCATTAAACTTTATAGAACCAAAACTGCAACTTTTTTTGCTTTCAAAAAAGTCTCTGACCCTTTCCAAAAAACGCAGCGGGTGAAAATGCAGAGATGTGAACCTGTCCCATAGGAAATCATGTTAAATGGACTGTAGTTCGTTTCTGCAAAACGCTGCAGAAAACGCATAGCTGTAAGGCATAGAGCAAGTAGAGTAGGTAAGTATAAAATGACTAATAAGTACATTTCCTGTTGCCCCCACATTCAGCAAGCTTTACGCTGTCATGTATGCTGTGCGGAGTGGAAGAGGAGAGAAGGATTCTGAATAGTTGCTAGAAGGGATTTGCAGGTCAGCACATTTTAATACATAAGAAGCATGAGGGTGTTGTAGGCGGTAGAAGCTATAAATACCTGAAAATATAAAGTATTTCTGCCAGTTGAGGATCCCTCTTCTTCAGCGCTTGGGCTCAGACAAAGCAGACAATGACAATGGTTTGGCGTCCAGCTGGGTTGAAGATTTCAGCTCTGCCTCTCTCCAAGGAAGGATTAGATCAATATCCCAGATTCTATTTGGAGAAACAATGGCATTACTTTTTATATCCACTTTTAATCATTTTGATCACTTTTTATAAGACATACCTGGTGATGCGCTTTGTATTCTCTCTTGAAAATATCTGTGAAGTTCGAAGTACCTAGAGAAATAGGGCAGACCAGACAAACAAGAGCATGTAAATATTTATTGTCAAGCATAAAACCAAACAAACAACAAACAAACACTGTCTGTTTGTCTACATCCCAAGCTTTATGGTAGATACAGGCCAGAAATAACACAACATGATAATGAAATATAAAAGCAAAAACACAGAGCAGATCTGTCGAGCAGACTGTTGTCAGGTAGAAGTAATCCAATACTTCCATGGACCACCGGTAAGCACTACCCCCCCCCCCCAACTATAACGTTCTACACTTTTTGTTTTTACTTAACTTTACTTTTTATCACATATTACTGTAGGACCAAACTTCCCTAAGGGATATCATTTTGCATTGACATGTTCTCTTTAATGAGACATCAGGGTCATTTTAGACCCCTGATGTCTCCCCTGCCTAGCACTGAAGCTAGTGGAGCACCCCCCAACTTTAACTTTCTACACTTTTTTTTTTTACTTAACTTTACTTTTTATCACATATACTGTAGGACCAAACTTCCCTAAGCGATATCATTTTGCATTGACATGTTCTCTTTAATGAGACATCAGGGTCATTTTAGACCCCTGATGTCTCCCCTGCCTAACACTGAAGCTAGTGGAGCACGGATCCAGTGTAGCCTCAGACCAGTCAGAGTTCTCCATGCTGGCCGGTGCCCACAGCTAGGAGCGCCTACAATGGGAATGAGAGCATCAGAACTGGACCATGAAGCCAATGGAAGAAGGTGGCCTAATCTTATGAATAACTTTTTCTTTTACATCATACGTGGGTGCGTGTCTATCATTTACCTGTGAAGAGATGGAGCCAGGATGCAGTATGGGAAGACGTTTGATGCTTTGGGCAATGTTCTGCTGGGAAACCTTGGGTCCTGCCATTCATGGGGATATTACTTTGATACTTACCACCTACTTAACCACTTCCATACCGGGCACTTTTACCCCCTTCCTGCCCAGGCCATTTTTCAGGTTTCAGCACTCTCACACTTTGAATGACAATTGCGCGGTCATTTGTACCCATATGTACCCAAACTAAAATTTATAATTTTCTTCACACAAGTAGAGCTTTCTTTTGGTGTTATTTAATCAACACTGGGGTTTTAATTTTTTGCTAAATTAACAAAAAAAGACCAAACATTTTGGAAAAAAAAAAACCCACGTTTTTCTTTGTTTCTGTTTTAAAAGTTTGCAAATAAATAATTGTTCTTCATAAATTTAGGCAAAGTTGTATTCTGCTACATTTCTTTAGTGAAAATAACCCAAATTAGGATGTATTATTTAGTTTGTAGGAAAGTTATAGAGTTCACAAACTATGGTATAGATCTGAATATTGATCAATCCTGAAGCACTGACAGCCAATCTAATTTCTTGAGGTCCAAGAATGTCAGAACAGTACAGATATCCCCCAAATGACCCCTTTTTGCAGAGTAGACAGTCCGACGTATTTGATCAGAGGCATGTTTTTTTGAAGTTGTAATTTTTTTGTCATATTTTTTCAGAAAATTAAATTATTTTCACTATTTTTTTTTTACATACTGTCACCAGTGCAGTACAGCGCCATCATATAACTGGCATGGCGGTGATCAGGGACACTGACTGGTGACAGCACGAAAAAAAAAAAGTATAACTTTTTTAAAATTTTTATGTTTTAATTTTTTATTAAACATTTTTTCTTTTTTTTTTAAGATTATTTTTTCATATTTCACTATGTCCAAAGTAGTATAATGTTACCATAGTGACATTGTACTACTTTGGAGAAGTGATCAGTATTTTTTTTTTTTTTTTACACAATTTGCTTATAGCAAAGAATTACTTCGCTATAAGCAAGCATTTGCCTGAATGACATTGATTCATTCGGGGTTTTTTTTTTTTTCGTGCTTAGCTGTGATGGGGCCACGGCAACTCACATGACAAAGATGGGCTGTGATTGGCCCAGCTTGTGCATGTGATTGCTGTGACCATTCACAGCTAGACACACTTGTATACAATGGATTGCATGAAAGGAAGCCATCCATTGTATACAACTGTCATGTGACCTGTTGTGGTTGGTCACAGCAGGTCACCTGGTACTGGCAATGGGGCCTGTGCACAGATCTATCATTATCCAAGGTACATGGCCGGTGTCAGATCGCGCCGCAGAGCGGCCCTGCAGGCAGGCGCACTGCGCGTGCCTGAAAGGACACCATATGGCGTCCACCCGGAGGGACAAGCTGTTCGCCCGGCCGCCATCTAGCTATAGGCTGGGCGGCAACTGGTTAAACATTGTGGGTGACCAAGAACACCCCTTCATGGAAACGGTATTCCCTGATAGCAGTGGCCTCTTTCTGCAAGATAATGTGCCCTGCTACACTGCCAAAATGGTTCAAGAATGGTTTGAGGAACACAAGTTTGAGGTGGCTTGGCCTCCACATTGTGTGTAAACACCAACAGTAACCAGAAACCAGCGCTCAAACCTTTCTTGATGCACTCAAAATGGAATAGTGCACTTGCTGAGGTGTCGCCCATGATAGACTGGGGAATCTTGATAGTAGCAAAAAAAAAAAAAAACAGGGCGCACTCTCCTCGTGCATTAACGCAAAAATGTATTAAAAAGATGCAAAAACATACTCACAAGCCATAAAGGTCATAAAAACAGAGGCAAGAAGTAAAAAGGTGCCAATCGTGGTCAGCAGGTTCCGGCCATACGTCATTGGCTGGGACATGCTGACTGACCGAATCACAGCACAGATTGTGGATTTTACTTTTAACCTATATTCATACCCACACTGAGCACGTTCCACTTTCAGTTAGAGTGTGTAATGTTATTGTGTATTATGTTTACTGTGCATATATTTTATATTTTATTTTGACACGATCTAGTCAGCAAACGCATGACCTGTTTTGCACTCCCAGCACTTGGCACTTGTATATTTTTTTTGGGGGGGATTATTTAGCATTAGTTATCAATACCTTTCAATACAGTGAGGTCACTTTATATGTATTTTTATATCATTGCACCTACTTATTTAGTTTTTCATGTGAAGCGCTTCACCAATATTGTTTTTTTATGTAGAGATAAACAGATTATCAAAATAATTTAGAAAGAAAAATAAATGTATTAAATGTACCTGATTACATTTGTTTACATACTACTGTCAGTGAGGAATCCCCAGTGGGGATGAGTCATGGTTGTTTCATGGTTGGTCAATTTTCTTGGATACGTCCATTAAATAGCACATGGCTAGGACCGCAAATTATTTAACCACTTGCCTACCAGACACATATCCCCTTCCTTACCAGGCCTATTTTCAGCTTTCAGTGCTGTCGCACTTTGAATGACAATTGCGCGGTCATGCAACATTGTACTCATATGAAAGTTTTATAATTTTTTTTCTCACAAATAGAG